GGTCTGTATGTGGGATCCAAACCCTCGGTGGGAGCGCCGCTGCGCTCCCAAGCGGCGCACTGCAGCAGTGCGCCACCGGGCCAGCCCCCATATAGAGAACATTTCATTGCAACTGAGTTTATTTCAAAATTTGTTGTTGGTTTTGAGTTAGATTATTCTCAGCCTACTTCCTTTATCACCAAGCCCTATCATTCGTTCCTGCAGGGTGATGGTCTTACAGCACAGGTGGAAGCTGCATCCTCAGACTGTCTACATCTGGATGAAAAGAATCGGGTTCTTCAACAAAAGTTATTACCTTTGAAAACAATACAAAAGAAATGTGAAGAACTAGAGAAGGAGAAAGAGCAGTTGGAACAAGTAGTAGTGGACCTCAAAAGACATATGGAAAAGAACATGATAGAACATGGCCAAACAGAGCAGTACAAACGGGAGATTAACGAAAGAGTAATACAGGATATGGTGGAAAAATTAAAACAAGTCAATCTGTTTTTACAGGTTGGTTTAATTATCTGTATTGTGCCTTAATTCATTTCACTGCAAATTATATTTTGGATATATACATTGCATGTGTTTGCTCTACTTCCCTGATAGCTGTTTGTTTTATAGATTTCTAGGAGGGTGGCTTCTGTTTTTACCTGTAAATCATTCAGTTTCCATCATTATTACTAAATTGATCTTGATTATTAAGATCTGTTGGCCTAAAACTGACTTTTAGGAGGAAAAGAAAAAAATTGTGATTTGTAAATTATATCATAATCTTGAATCATTCTTAAGTTACATGTTTCAGTTTCTAAAATTGTAAATCGGTTCTGTTATTCTTTGAATTATCAGGTTACATGAATTCTAGCACAAGAATGACTCAACTTCTTTTATAATTTAAATTTAATTAAGTTGAAATTGATGATAAATATTTTCAACTTTAGCTTTTTCTCATATTTAAAATCGTTCTCTGAGTCACTGATTCAAATATAAAGGAAACAATATTTATTCAGGTTATAATTATGTAAAAAATGTGTCCTTTTCACTTTAGGAACAAGCAGCATCTAGAGAAAATTCAGAAAAGTTGATAGAGGATCATAATGCTTCAGTAAGAAGACAGATGGAACTCACAATTAAATATCTGGAATTTAAACTCTTCAAAATGAAAAATTCTCAAGATGATTCTTATGAAACAGAATTGGCAACATATAAGCAACTCTATCTAGAAGAATTAAAAGCCAGAAAATCATTGTCAATTGAACTAAGCATGTAAGTCAAAATATAAAATCAAAGACAATAAATTACGCTTGTTAATTTGGCTCTAAAATGTGTTTTTTACTGAGGTTCGTGAAGTTACTAGAAAGTGAAAGACAATATAATTTTGGCAAATGATGTTAATAAATTCCTTTTAAAATGGTAGTTTGGGCTGCCTGGTTAGCTCAGTTGGTTTGAGCACAGCCTTGTAACACCAAGGTCAAGGGTTCAGATCCCCATATTGGCCAGCCTCCAAAAAAGTATATAAATAAACAAAATAATAATAAAAATAAAATGTTAGTTCAGGATGGTTTCTGCCTCCCCTTCTTTTTTAAGTTTTATATAGCCTTATTTTTCCCCTCAATATTTTCTCAAATGCTAGCCTTTCAGCTAAGTATTTTTGAAGCTTTACAATTTAGGTAGTGATATTTTTATGAAATTGCTTGTTATCATTCCCCTAAATAGAAATATTAATAAGTTTAACTATTTTTTTTTTTTTTTTTGGAAAATTACAACTTAAATTCAGAGGACCAAGTACTACTTACTCTTAGCACTTTCTGACACTTGGGAAATTAACTTTCATAGATTGTGATCTTCGGTGTTATCACTAGAGGGCACTTTAAGACGAAACTATTCTTCACTGACTTTCCAGTCTTCATAAAGGCATGCTTGTGAACAAGGGAAAGATGAACACAGGTGAAGGGAAGTAGAACTCACTTAGTGCCTAGGACTAACACCTTGGTCAGCCTGATGTGTTGTGTCGAAGACAGAAAAGGCAGGTGCCACCTCTATGCCTTGGTACCAATGTTAGGAGCTAATTGCCTTTGCAGCTGTGTCAGTTCATGGTGATGGCCAGTCAGCTAGCTCATCCTCCCCTAGAGCTTGTTCCTCTTGAGTTTTTTCCTCAGTGCCAGGTGCTTCATTTCCCCCAGGTAATGTTTGTGAAAGCAAATGCTTGAAAATGTCTTCAAGGCATGGCTTTTTAAATCCCTAAACTGGTTTACTATGAATACAAATATTCCTAACTTTTTTTATTTTTATTTTTTAATTGTATGTATTTAAGGAGCACAATGTGATGAGTACAACATGATATTTTGGTATATTTATACATAGTGAAATTGTCATTATAGTTAAGCAAATTAACATATCCATCATTTCAAACAGTTACCCTTAGAAACAAGTATTTCTAGTAGCATCCTTTAATAATCTGTTAAGTGGAGCAGTTTGTTACCTGGTAACCCATACATCCTTGACAGCCCTTTCTCTCCCTTCCCAACTTTGTGTAATTACTTATTCAGAGTCCCCTAGAAATATGCATACTTCTTTAGAATGATTTTAACATATAATTGTGTACAGTAGTTATGCTCTGTTTTCAGTGTTAATACATTGTTAAATGGGAAGTTCCACTTACTGTTATGGCAACTTTTTTAAGAGTGCAAATCATTTAGGAATCATTTAGGGAAAAATGAAATACTAAACATTTGTCTGTTCTAATCTTCACAGTGTTAATGAGAGGCTGGCAGAGTTCAATACCTGCTTCTTATGGGGAAAGAGCAGCACACATCTTTAGTCAGCACTTCTGCTGTTACTACGAGACCTGTCCTGGAGTCACCTGGTGCGGCAATTACTAATCATCATTTAGCACTCAACAGAAATCATTTTCCAAGAGAAAACTTAGTGATTCCTACCTCAACCCTGTGGCCTTCAAATAACAGCTTGGAGAACTCCTTGGCCACAGTTAGTTATATTATCTCTTTCTTTAGGCTTTCAGATTTCTGATATAATTCTCGTTTTTAATTTGGTGAAATACTGAGGTGTTTAATTGACTTAGGTATATTAAGTAAAGGTCATAATTACCTGTGTTCATAAGTAAAGGAGACAGAAATTTTACTTTTTTTAAAAAAAAATGTCACGAGCTCACTTTTATGAGTAAATTTGTTAACTTTATTCAATAAATATAACTAAACTGACATATTTTATATTTCTTTAAAAGCTGTATTTAACTAGATTTTAGAAATTGAATATTATTGCCTGATAACTAAAGGTGTACTTTGAGATACTTTGGCTTACTTTCTAATTGATTTTAGTTTGGCTGTGGTTCATAACACTTTTAAAGTTTTTCTGCACCGGCCCATGTTTCCACCCCTAACCGTAAGTGAATGATCAGCATCCAAACACTCCACCCTGTGTGGGTGTGTATTGCTTAAAGGAATCCTGGAGAAATCCTTTTTATAAATCACATAAACCTGTAACAATAAAAAGGTTCATTTCTGCTTTTAAGTTAAAATTTTTGTCATTTTCTTTAATAAGAATATATCCTCAATTAACCAAGCAGGCCAAGTTTGTCTTTGAGCCCCTCTCCCCATTTGGCCCCTTCCTTCCTTCCCTCCTCTTTAGGTCCTCAGGGTTCCCCTGCCTGCACTCTCTTCTAGAAATCATCCCATGGCAGGTTGGGTGAACATGAACACACAACACACACCTGACCAATGGGTTTTATCGTGTTGCTGAGTGCAGAGAGAAAACACAGAACATGTCATCAACTTTTTAGCTGCGGGCAAGCCACGTTCTCTTGAAGTCATGTTCAATAAACTCCCATAGACAACTCCTAGTAGAATATGTGGGTTTTGAGAAAAACTAAATACATTAGCAAACCTAGAGGTTGTGAGCTGCTTTTTACTCAAGCCCTCTCCTGTCCTGATTTCCCCCTCAATTGACATTGTCTTCATTCTGTGACCCTTTTTTGTCATATAATTCTGGGAAATACTGGGAGATCTGGGTGATATTTCATTAGACAGAACCTAATCTAGAGGCGAGTAAATTTAATCAAAATCATAGCTACAGGCTTATACAAACTCATGCCCCAGATCAAGGGAAAAAAAGGTTTGACAAAAAGAGACTCAACATAAAAACGTCCCTTTGTCAACTGCCTTCATGAAGCCTTTCTTGGCAGAATTAGTTCAACAGCACTGTCATTAAGTGCATGACAATCACCTTCCCTTCTGGCTCCAGTGAGAAGTCTATCACAGCAACTTCAGAATGAGAGCATCAGAATTAAAGAACTGATGGAGGGAGGTACAGGAATGAAAAACGAAATGGTCTCTGTCCGTCACCCAAAATGTCTGTGAGTGATAGCTGAGGTTAAGCTGAGATCCGTGTGTGGGGGTGTTAAACGTGATATCCTGTCCAACATGTCCTAGAGTCCAAAAAGCCCATAGAACATAATCTGCTATTTTTATTACTAAAAGGTTCTTTAGTTTTATTTGTTAGTATTGTTTATTTTTTATTTATTTTTATTTTTTATCCCTTTTTGTCTTTTTTCATGACCGGAAACGGATCGCAACCCTCAGTGTTGCCCCCGTACCGGACCGGGACCGGCAACGGGATCGCAACCCTCGGTGTTGCCCCCGCACCTCGCTCAGCCAGTGAGCGGGAACCGGTCTGTATGTGGGATCCGAACCCTCGGCGGGAGCACCACCGCACTCCCAAGCGGCGCACTGTAGCAGTGCGCCACCGGGCCGGCCCTATTGTTTATTTTTTAATTGACAAAACATTGTATATATTTATCTAGTACAACATGCTGCATCGAGATATGTATACCTTATGGAATTGTTAAATCTACCTAGTTAACATATGCATTACCTCGTATACTTATCAGTTTTTGTGGTGAGAACACTTAGAATCTACTCTCTCAGCAATTTTCAAGAAGAGAGTGCATTATTATTCACTATAGTCACCATGTTGTACAGTAACAGATCGCTTGAACTTATTCCTCCTGTCTAACTGAAAGGTTTTATCCTTTGACCTGTTGGTCTCCCCAACAACCTCACCACCCAGCCCCTGGTAGCCAGCATTCTGCTCTCTACTTTCATGGGATCAACTTTTTTAGATTCCACATATAAGTAAGATCATGCAGTATTTTTCTGTGCCTGCCTCATATCACTTAATGTAAAGTCCTCCAGGTTCATCCACGTTGTCACAAATGACAGGGTTTTCTTAATTTTTAGTGCTGAATAGTATTTCATTATGCCTATTTGCCACATTTTCTTTATTCATTTGTTGATGAACACTTAGGTTGATTTCATATCTTGGCTATTGTGAATAATGCTGCAATAAACATGGGAGTGCAGGTAGCTCTTTTACATGCTGCTTTGCTCTGTATATATATCCAGTAGTGAGATTGCTGGATCACATGGTAGTTCTATTTTTAATTTTTTGAGGAACCTCCATACTGTTTTCCTTAATGGCTATATTAATTTATATTCCCACCAATAGTGAGTGAGAAAAGTTTCCATTTTCTACACGTTCTCTCCAAACTTATCTTTTTTCTTGTTATAGCTGTTCAAACAGGTGTGAGGTGAGAGCTCATGATGATCTCGATTTGCATTTCTCTAACAATTAGTGATGTTGAGCATTTTCTCATATACCTGTTGGCTACCTGTATGTCTTTTTTTGAGATATATCTATTCAGATCCTTTGCCATATTTTAATCTGGTTATTTGTTTTCTTAATATTGAATCATTTGTGTCCCCTGTACATTTTGAATATTAACCCCTTGTCAGATGTACAGTTTGCAAATATTTTATCTCATTCCATAGGTTGCCTCCTCAGTCTGTTGATTGTTTCCTTGGCTGTGCAAAAGCTTTTTAGTTTGATATAATCCCACTGTTCTGTTTTTGCTTTTGTTGTCTGTGCCTTTGGGTTCATATTCAAAAATCATTGCCCAGACCAATGTTATGAAGTTTTCCCTGTATGTTTTCTTTTAGTAGTTTTACATTTTCAGTCTTGTGTTTAAGTTTTCAATCTATTTTGAGTTTATTTTTGTATATGGCGTGAGATAAAGCTCTAATTTCATTCTTCTGCATGGAGATATCCAGTTGTCCCAACACCATTTATTGAAGAAACTATCCTTTCTACATGCGTGTTCTTGGCAGCTTTGTCAAGAATCAGCTGACCATAAATGTGTGGGCTTATTCCTGGGCTCACAATTCTGTACCATGATCTATGTGGCTGTTTTTACACCTGTACCATGCCATTTGATTACTATAGCTTTGTAGTATATTTTGAAGACAGGTAGTATGATACCTTCAGCTTTGTTTTTTCCTGCTCAAGTTTGCTTTGGCTATTCAGGTTCTTTTGTGGTTCTGTATGGAGTTTAGGATTGTTTTTTCTATTACTGTGAAAAACATCATTGAAATTTTCATAGGGATTGCATAAATCTGTAGATTGCTTTGAGCAGTATGGATATTTTAACAACTTGTTCGTTTATCCACTCTATGAAAATGAGATCTCCTTCCATCTATTTATGTCTTCTTAAATTTCTTCCATCAATGTCTTTGTTTATCCTCACATCAGTCTCACATTCTGTCGATTATTATATCTT